TTCTACTATTTTGGTACCTTTATCAATTATTCAGGTCTACTCTGCAAGAAGCTGCGAGAGTATTGAAAGTAAGTACGAGGTAAGTTGTTAAAGCTACGCGCGATATAACTCGTTGAGTACCGTCCGACCGGTGGTATCACCCAGGCCTGCACAATTGCGGCTTCCAGGAAAACCTCCCGGTCCAGCTGTCTCAGCGCCCAACGTGGATCATATGGGGCCTGTCTGACCGGCGGGTCCGCGGACTCGGTGGAGGCCTTTTTCTTTCAGTCGGCGACCCCCCGAGTAAGGCTTCGCGACCCCCCTAGGGGTCGCGACCCACAGTTTGAAAAACACTGGTCTAGGTCTTTCTCTCATTTAAGTTTTATGGAGATTTGAGAAAGTCCGAACCAGTAGGTACCTATGCAGCCGCATAAATTGAGACGTTGAAAGCTTTCACAGTCCCAGTATAAATTACCTACTAGGTATCTACAGAACTGTCTAAAGACGGTGATCAATAGTTATCTAACTAGTCCAGTGAGAGGTCAGGCCAATACCATGCCGCGGAAGGCGTAATGGGTTGCCGGGGCTCCGGCTCGAAAAGCAGGAGTAGGAACGGGGTGGTTTTTAGTCAGTAAGAATCTGACACTCCCTCTCGTCTAACCCAAGGCGGGAGAAACCAATAGATGATTTTCCCTCTTAAAAAAAGGCCAATACCAGGTCAGGTCAGACCAATATTATAAGTATTTTCTGTGGCACAGAGACGAAACGCGCACATGGTAATATTTTTAGGCACCCCAGGTGCAACCCTCTTCATCCGCCGTCGTATAAGTATTTATTCAAACCTCTAGCTACACTCATGAGGTAGTCAGGGATTGTGATTACTTACAATATAACAGCAATAAGAAGGTGACCATCGGGCATAGGCCCCTGGCGGTCGATTAAATCTAGCACGAAACCATTCCATTACGTTGCCCACACCAGACGCTGTGGGGATCAAGTTAAATGGTGACGGTAGCGTTGTTTGCAGCATGTAGTCTATGTACACCTGTAAATAATAGAAAATTGTAAAAGGTGAATTAAAATTTTAAAGATATTATTGTTCAGCGTTATTCTGCTAAGTGGTATTTAGACCTATCTACGCGAGTCGCGGAGAACCTAACGGGTAACCGGGGCTCCGGCTCGACGTGCAGGAAAAGGAACGGAGTGGTTTTTAGTCAGTAAGAGTTTGACACTCCCTCCGCCTGGGTAAGGCGGGAGCAGTCATTCGATGATTTTCTCCCCTTAAAAAAAGACTTATGTACCTATAGGTACGTAGGTAGGTAGTTCATATAGTACCTACTAACCGATTCGTATTTGACTTTTCATTGGTTACTTAGGTATTTAACTCGTCGAGTACCGTCATTATAGACACAATTATAGAACAATAGGTTGCGGTCACCGGTGACCGCTTGGTATTTGACAGTTTAAGGTGCACTTTCACGCTAAGTAGGTAGGGAACTCTTAGTTAAGAAATATTTTAGGCCACGTTGGTGAAAACGAGCATTATTAGGTAGTGAGAGGGTCAGTGGTTCGACAATGGGTTCGAATCAAATTTGAACCCGTGAGTTTCTGGGTGATGGTTTTGTTTGTCGAGTGATCCCATATGATTTCACTTGGGATCAGTAAAACCATAGAGACCAGAAATATTGCTAAATCAAATTTACTTTACAACTAAAATCATTTACGTAATGAAAGCGCAATGTCGAAGCTCTACAGAGTAACAAATTGCAGCTTTAATAACTCAATTGTCCACTTTTTATAAGTAGGCATGAGATATCCTTTCGGAATTTCATTTTACGATAACCCTGCACTAATATAAGGGGTAGGTATGAACGTTTAATAACAAACAGAATTAAATACCAACACGACGTCGACAGGATAGCAGTCTTCGATTAGAAACAATGACTGCACAGATTGGATCGGTTGTAATAACAATACCCTTATTTGTGCACAATATGGTCCATAATGGGTTAAAAACCTGTACCTGACCTGAACTTGCCCAAGGTATCTAACTATAAAGTTTTATTGCTAACTTGCGACCACCTACGGGTTCGTTAACCTCAACTATTTTACGAGTTTAAACTGTGACATAGGTACATAACCAGGAAAGTCTGGAAAGGAATTTACATAATTCATTGAATGACATTCTATTCTATTGAGCTTTAATGGAATTATAATAGCAGTAAGAGTAATAGGCATTCACATACATATTTACTAATCAGGCTTAGTCTTAGGTTTTAGTAGATTAAGCACAACATGTTTTTTAACTAAGCACTTTTTTAAACACAGTTTTCGAAAAGAACAACTGGCACAAAGTTTTTTTTTAAATGTTTCCCTACACAAGGATTTACTCCTGTGTCGTAGGTGCGATGCCAAACATACAAGTTCACATACACATGACACCTAGACCCGAAACAACAATTTGTGTATCACACAGAGTTGTTCCATGCGGGAAACGAACCCGCAACACATTGCGCGGCATTCGGTTGCCCAGCCACCGCACCAACCGTGCAGTCTATAGTGGCTTAGTGGCGTCTGCTGTAAGGAAATAGAGAAGTGCTATTTAACGAAACGAATGGCGAAAAGCACCTTCTGAATAAATATTTGAACCATTTAGCTTCGAGAAATAAAGAGCGTAATATGATATACTTACTTTACTATGTGCTCAGAGATATTTAGTGATTAAATATTCTTTAGTAAAGGTTATGTTCCGAAAACAGATGCTTTTTTTTGAGTGGGGATATCATCCAATGGCTTCTCCCGCCCGGGTGAGGCGAGAGAGTGTGTCAGAGTCTTACTGACTAAACACCACCCCCTTCCTGTTCCTACACTTCGAGCCGGAGCCCTGGCAACCTAAGTCGTCCGCGGCTCCGTATCGGCATCAGCCCTATTGGGCCCCATCTATGGTAGTCTAATGGCTCTTTGAGTTGAGACACGCGCAGAACGATCGGGGAAAGCGAATACTAAGGACTTGGTTAGTTTACCATTAAATGACTCTGAGTGCGGTAGTAATTAAGTATTCAAAATAATTCTTTTATATAAACTACTTTAAAAAAACCGACTTCAACACCCTTTATCGAACTCGGTTCATTAATATACTAAAACCTTCTTCTAAGTGTAACAAACACTTTTCTGAAAACCACATCATAATCGGTTACGACAGAAACTAAGAATCTCCTTCTTTTTTTGAAGTCGGTTAGTTAAGATAAAAGAGTGAAAAACCTGACACTAATAAGACAGGCATACCTACCTCAGTTTTGCCGAAAGTCCACTCTATATCGACGTTGTCGGTAACTCTTTGAAAAGTGTTGGACATAGTAGCAATGAGCATGTTCAGTACCACTATTACGGATATTACTTCGAAACCTGTAATTAAAACATGGAATATTTACTTTTAAGGTATGAACATCGATACAATTTCTTGTATGTTTTTCCTAAGATTGATTTGTTTTAAGATCTTGGGATAATAAATATTTAGGTCTTTAGAGTGCTTGTAGGACTTGCTTCAAATGTTTAGAAAGCTAGCAATTATCACATACATCTCTAGTAATTTATACGAGGTTAATTAAAATTAATAAATTAATTAGTTGAACTCCTTTACCCCAGTTTCTATTTTAAATTAAAATCTGCAAAATAATTTACATTACTTTGGTACATAGGTCACATAGGTGCTTAATAACACATACTTTTTTTTAAAAAGAGTAACGAATGGAGTTTCTTGCTCGTTCTTCTCCATTCGAATCTACGTTTTGGAATGAGCACCTAGCTTCACCTAGCTTCACTGACGGACTGACTGACAGACTATTATTTATTTTGTATTTGTTGACGTTTCAAAAGTACCAAACTATGGTTTAATTGAAATAAATGCTTTGACTTTGACTTTGAAATAATTCTACGTCCAAATATACTAAAAAGTCCTATTTTTAATTACAAATTTCATAACAAATGACTTACATCCAAAACAAAAGTATCCGATACGTTCAGTGTACCCGTGTCTATTCTCATGCAACTTGTCCAAACTCCTTGGATCCCGGGTGTTCTCCAGCACCACGTCAGCACTTTCCAAGGGCGCCATACAAAATAGAGCCCAGAACAACGTGTTTAGGGTGTCTGTCAAACTCGTGAATGAGGCCACCTGCAAATATTGGTTAGAACCTCTAAGCCTCTGATTGGCCGGCTCCAATGATCCAACCAATCAGAGGTAATACGAGTTTACGTTTAAAGTAATCGAAACGAGTACGCGTTCGTACGTTACGTGATTACGTCACTTACATAGAATAGGCCCTCTGTATAGAATAGACTGGTAGAACCAATATTTTACATGAGAAAATTAATTGCTACAATTTTATGACGTGTTTTTAAACTCATACTGTAGTTTAGACTATCCATAGGTACTGGTATAATAACAATAAATCTCCCAATTAATTTCGATCACGGTGGCCAGTCTGTCCAACTAGAGTAGCCCACTACCTGTGCCCACTACGCAGGAGATATTCTAATGTACAAATGTGTGTGGAAACACAAGTGCACTCTCTGTTCGCTCACTCTTTGGACCCGATGCGACGGTAGACCGTCACGGCCGGAGAGAGGTCAGGCGCAGGACTAACGGCTTCACGCGCTTTCCGAGGCACGGGGCTGGAACACTGCCGAAATTCCTGACTCCCGGCTAATAATGGTCACTTTACTGCAAAAACGGCATTATCACTTTTTGGCCGGCGCGGGGTTCGAACCCACACGTTGCACTGCAGCCGGCAACTCAACCACTGTGCCAAACGTGCAGTATTTTATTTATGCATAAATATGTTAGGTTGCTAACAAGGAGTAATGACTATATGAAATTGTCAGTAAACGAGCTTCCGCATTACATGACACCACTCAATTTAAAGTAAAACAGTTAATTTTGATAACAAAGGCGCCAGCACCTCCATGAGTCATGGGAACCAGTGTAAACGCTTTACATAGGCAGATCATCCGGTTTTTGTCCAACGTCTAATGTAAAGTAACAGTACATGTTTCATTGTGAGTTGCAATGATCCGTGAAATAAGTTCCAGACAATGTGAACTAATGATTGATCGCGAAAGCTCGTCGTTTGTTCCTCAGAGCCCGCAGCTAGCTACTACTCACTTGCTTTTTAACCGTGTTGCTACTTAAATGTCTAGTCTATTACTGACAAATGTGAAATATTCACGTAGAAGCTTCTGTGTAAATCTGAGTTTCAAATAAATGAAAATCGGATGAACTTTAAACTTGGCTACGACGTCATAAAAAGGTCGTAAGTTCCGACAGTACAACGCCAACGCCCTAAATTACAACGGTTCAGTCAGGCCCGTACATACAGATCTGACCTCAACCTCAGAAATACGTATAAAATGCATGAATGTTTAGACATTTAGAAATAAAAACCGCGTAAAGTTTAAATGTCTCGCTGGTCAGAAGCTACCTACGCTGTGAACATTTTTATTTCGTATTAACCTAGTCTGTTAACTTCTGTTTCAAAATGACATGTGTGGCGGATTATAACGACTATTAAACTCCGTTACTGTCTCCACGGGTTAAAGTTTAACTTGATAGTGGTAATAGTTTGCTATTCTTACTGTGTATTCAGGACAATTGTGTTGGGATATGAGGTCGTGCGTTTTATAGACCGTAATATAAATTGCAATACATAAACGTAAAATGTACAGCTAGCTAGCTAGCAATAAAGTCGCCTAATCGATACTGTTTACAGTATTTACCTGTACTGTCTTCATGCCGAACTCGTCTTCATAAACCATACCATCGTAATACTGGTAGAACCGCGCCAGGCCGGCAGTAAACGCGCTGATTATTATTGCAAATATTATGATATACTTGTAAATATCAATAGTCATTTTCCCTAACGATACCTGTGAAGTAACTGTAATGTAGTGAGTTATTCAATGTGTACGATGGCCAAGTGTCGATACTGTCGATACAAGTTAAAGTAGAACTAATATAACTTGTAGGTACAATGTTACATGTTCGCATGAAGAGAACTCTTGAAACAGTAAACCCATACAAGGAGATCTAATTTGAATAAAGGTATGTATGCAACATTTTCTAACGAGGACATTCTTACATAGAATCAATGCGGCATTTAAATGTAAAATCAGCATACCTGCAATGGCCCTAGATGGTAGTTCAACTGGCACAGGAACATAAGTCGGAAGAAAGCGATTATAGTCGCCAAGCAAAACGTGCCCTCGGCTAATAAAGTTGGGTCGTGCTGGTTCCAATATTTGCGATCTGAATAGTTTTAAAGGTCAATCTTGCAAATTCGTTTCTATACATCGACCGCTAAATACGCTATTGGGTACGTGATCCGTAAGTTCTTTAGCCGCTCCGGTGAGCTCTATCTTATCTAATGATTTTATACCTACTTAGAGCTAACGCAGAAGTGCTAGCGATAACTAAGTACCGAGGCGGTACATTGACATCTAGTGCTTAAAGTAATTACACTAAGTAGGATGTAAGAGTAGTACTAATGTACTATCGGTATTAGAGGCAATAAAATTACTAAGCATAACATATTGGACAGAAATATTGTGTTCATTCATTCTGTGATTTACAAAAGGTTAAAAAGGAATCGAATATCTTTGTTCAGCATTACCTAAATCTTCTTCGTTATAAATTGCAACGTCGATCGCAGCTAGTACCCAAAAGACGAATGTCATGAAAAACAGAGTGAGCATTATGAGCTCAGTCCAGTTCCACATCTTGCTGAAGTATCGATGCGGTCCCTGCATCACCATCATACGGAGAGCCGACCAGGCATAGCCACACACGTACAGAATTAGCGGCGCCTCCGCACCTAGCAGACCAAACGAGGCCAGCTATCATTTGTTCTTGTTTAATCAAAGCAACCATTTATAGACTGCTATCTACATCGCCTATTGGCTTACCTTAAAAAGCTCCAACGGTAACGGTCTTTGGTATAGTTGACTAACAAATAAAGAAATATAAATGATACACAGCAAGTAGAGGTACCTGTGTACCACATAATGATACGTTATCAAGTTGCAGTTGGGATATCGTGTGCAATTAATTGTGATAATCTTGACAAAGCATCACATAAGCGTCATTAGAAAGTAAATCGCGAACCTGTGTTTGGAGGTCCTCGTTTCTGACTGTATTTATCTTGATTAGAAATATAGAAGACTAGAGCAAGGAAAACGAAATATGCGGCGACGTGAGTAATCAGTTTGTTCAACGGTATCTGCCAGTGAGATACGAGGCGATGACGAGGCGCTACCTGCAAACATTCTAATTAGACACACACTGAGGGAGAGTGACCGTGAATAAAAACGAAAATAATGTACTCACCATGCACACAAGAAGAATAAATGGTGTAATGAATACTCGGCCTAAAACGAGTACCGCCTTTACTAACAGAGGTTTGCTTCTCCATGAATGCCAGTCGCCGAGCCAGTATGACTCCAGCACCTACGAAATCATCATCGTATTTAATGAACTTGTACATTTACGGATTTTTGAGAATCCCGTTAGTAAAGCCTTGCAAGTTTAAAGGACCACATTTTTAGATTTCTGAATGTCAACTGGTGTAATTTTTCAGTTTCCCAATGTGGGACTAACGACGGGTAATAAAATTAACTTTAATTTCAATTATTTTCAGCATTTCTATACCTGTTGTGTATTGGGATGTGCGACAAATTCCTTCTGCTTATAGTCGACAGCCATAAGCAGCCTCGGCAACACAAAATGGCGACGTCCGAGACAACCTGTCGTTTGCTTTAACACAAATTCCACTTCTTCTGATGTACGACAACATCCTATTAGGAACAGACATGAACAGAGCTTAGCTTTAATCATTGGCTTTTAGTGTTATACACATGTGAAAGTTTGGAAGTATTCGTGTACGTTTGTTAATCTATTAATCATACAGTAATGAGTTTGTAATTATCTGCAGAGCTAGTTTATTAAGAATTTGGAAAAGGTCTGACCGTCCAATTTGAGTTTCTATCCGGTGTATGGCGTGCCAACTTCATCCTGCCTATGTAAAGGCGTAGCTATTTAAGAATAATAAACTATTTAAATATTTTCTCGACGTGCCTAGATTGTAAGTTTCAACTCGGACTGGAGTAAACTATCTATTATTAAGTGTTCCGATATAAATGGAGTCTGGAAGTGGACCTAATGTAGTTGGTATAATCTCAGCTCCTAATACAATAGGATTAATAAGTATTGGTGCAAAATGGTATTCACTTGACAGAGCAGTGGATGAATAGACGTGACGTCATAAAAGTCTTACTTTTAACTACAAGACGCGACGATCTAACAATCCTTCCAAATTAACATTCAAAACATAAAATTTCTTAGAAATATTTTCTAGTGACAATTCATACATACCTATGAGGTCAACAGCGAAGGTGCTGACGTCATCAGCGACTTGCAGGTAGGCTGCAGCGAGTTGCCTGTGAGCTGCAGCATTGTCTGCCAATTCTGCAGCGAGTCTAAACGAGGCGAGAATAGGGTCGGCGCACATGTGCACCATGTATGCAGGAGACGCAATCGCTCGGTATATAGACAGACGAACACTGCTCTCGTACAGTGGATCATCATTCAAGCAGCAAGTTCTAGAAAAATAATAATCTCACAGGATTTAAACAGGCACAGGTCAATCAGTTCCGTGGTATGTTTATAAGCGCGATTGCTGAACAAAAGGTTTTAGGTTTAATTTTTAGGTTTCCTTATTTATTTTATTTCAAGGACAACTGTAGCCGATAAAAAAATGGTTGTTGGTTGATGGCTTACTCTCCAGGGAATAAAAAGTGGGATGTTTTTGTTTTTTAAGAATCAGAGATACGGTATGTATAGTCTTCTTTTAGCACAATTTGAGTACGGAACTCTAGAAATGAAAACTTTTGTTCAAATAACGGTGGTATTGCCAGAACAGTAAAATAACATTAGGAAATATAAGCCGGTTGCGCGTGGGCAACCCAATGTCGCCTTGATAACTTAACACTATTTAAAATCAATTTTATTTTCATTGTTGTTAAATGAGTCACTTCTATTTTCTTAAATATCTATACTTTTTGTATAAATTTATTTACACGAATAAAGATATTGTATTGCCTCATAACTAACAGTAAACACTTTGAAATGATTTTAAATTGGTTGATTATTTTATTGGCATTTAGATATTAAGTTTTATGGCTACTTGAATCTTGATAAACACGATAGTTTTGTATCATGATCACAAATCCATCGATACTAAAATTATGGACGAAAAATTAATGTGAAATGAATATTAATGACATTAAGTTTAGCAACAGCATTGTACCATAGTCGTTCTAGACTCACCTACAACAACTGCAACAGCAGTTAAGTTTATGGGGACGATTGATTGCGTGTCCTCTTTCGATGAGCAGTGAGACAATCTCGTAATGTCCCAGCTGAGCAGCGAGGATGAGAGGCGTCACGTGCGCGGGGAAGTCTGCCGAATGCGTCGCCCCCGCACACTCTAATCCTGGCGAAATCTTCTGCTGAGCCTCCAACAAACAAACTGCCGACATTCACCTACTTTTAAAATCTGAATTCCTTTATAAGGTAAGTGAAAGCAAGAACAACAACATTTTACCCAATATCTTAATATTGTTGGATCGGATGGCTTGTAACACACTGTCACTTATTTCCACATTTGGAAGCCCCAAGAGAAACTTAACCATTGCTGGAGATCTGTTTTGTACAGCCATTTGGAGCGCTGACATACCCTACAAAGTAAAACAGTTGTCTATATTGATAACTGACTCATAACCTAAAGTAAGTATTAAAGTACATAATTAGGGTTATAACCTGATAGTTTGTACAGTTCACATTCAGGCACGGATCGCCATTTAAAATTTCTTTGGCACCATCGACATTGTCTTCCGATACGAGTCTAAGAAACTCTGCTTCATTCGGTTGCAGTTTTGGTAGAATTATGAATTCTTCTGAACACATATTCAACTCTCTTCTGCTCGTCTTCGGCTATAAATGACAAAATTATGCTTACTATTTTTTGTTCTGTTCTATTCTTACTCTTTCTTAAGTGTGAGAGAGCCATGCTTTAGCACGAATGGGCCGGCTCGACCGCAGTGATAGTACAATCACAGACAACGGACGTAAAACAACATTGCATTGAGTTTCGTCGTGTGAGTGAGGTTACGGGAGGCCAAATCTCCCCAATTCCCGAAATTCCAACAACCTTCAAATTCTTACTCCCTAAAAGGCCGGTAACGCACTTGTAACGCCTCTGGTGTGTCAGGTGTCCATGGTCGGTGTCAATTGCTTACCATTGCGTGAGCCGTTTGTTCCTTTACCGGCTTATACCATAAAAAATGAAAAATATTTACTACTTTCATTACCGAGCTTAGTTTTTCATACATCTTGGATGAAGAAGTGTTAGTTATCTTCGCTTTATAGGCAGAAAATTCACTATTCATCGACTCTAATGGATTTATTGATCTTCGGAGTTGAAGTGAACTAGTTTTCTGATCCATCACATTGTAACTCATAGCCCTGGTAGTTCCGAACATTTTATGATGACTAAATTTAGGAACTGAGTACGCTTTTCTTTGATAGTGGTGTCTACTTGAGTGTTGTTGAAGCGATTTCGGTGCATTACGATCTTTATCTTTAGAGTAACCTCCGTGGTCAGATTTATCCATGATTTGTGACGTTTGATTTTTGCTGGCTTTTTCTTCGTCTCTGGGTACGCTTGGTAGTGTTTGGTTCTCTATAGAGTCTGTTTTAGGTGATTCCTGTAATATGTCGATAGGAAACATCCTACTGGACCCATACCACGAAAGCCATTTTCACGGGCTATGCGCGGTACGTAAAATTTCTTTGTTGTGTTCTCGTCACTTTTTTGTTATTGTATCTTTATTGGTAGGTATTCAATTGTAAATAGTCCACACTTATTCGGCATTCAACATCAATTAAAGTTCTTTACACTCAAAATAATCTCTCTAAATCTTTTCAAATTAGATTAGACAAATTCTTCTGTCAGAAAAATCAAAGAGTCCTTAGAATAAGTTTATGGGTAAGAAAAACGCTCAAGACTCTGATGACATCTCCTTGGTGCAGTACGACAACATATGTTGTCTATGTTTATTTGCAAGAAGGTTAGTTATATCGCTGCTGATAAACTTTGTGCAATAATACGGGAAACGACATCTATTGATACTGCTCCTATCTACCTATATCTACAGCTTTATCTAAATTATGTACGTATTTCAAATGCTGTAGGGTCTAATTTTCATTGTACATCGTATATAGTAATGCGAAGTACGAGTACGACCTCGTGAGGATCTGTAATTAAAAATCATAAATAACAATCGATTTATTGCCTCTTCGGAGGTGCAAACAAATAAGAGTATACAAAACTTATAATTTCTAGAAAATAGGAATATCATGTATAAAAATTTTATGTTGTTGTATTTTGATGAAATTACAGGATCAATAATAATTTTCTGACTAAAAAATCTCGTAAAATAAACGCAGAAGCACGAACTAGTTTAAGGAGTAAAGTCGTGAGTTTAAATTCGTTTCATTTATTCAAAGAGATTCCATTCCAAGGTAAATGTTCGAGTTAAATATAGAGAACAATACTTACCGCTGAATACGTAACGAGGGTGATATTTGTGAAGCCCATTGCCGTAAACGCAATCGGTTTCTGAGCCCTGAAACAATATTATTCAGTAAACCATATGTAATTAAAGGATAATGAACTTAATTCTTTCATACATTAGCTCGAAGTTTAATAAGGCTCGCATATTTTGCTGTCTCTTGTCTTAACTAAGCTTAATGATAAAGTAAGTTCAATCAGTTTTTCTGTTATTGTGGATTTGGCACAATTCACTAAATGTTTGATTGGTATTCATGAAAATTATAAACAATTAACTAAACAGGTCTATAGATTAGCCCAACATGTGTAGCTGTGAAGTGTGAGCCCTGCCTCCATAGTCATAACTATAAATCGGGGCAACTAAACCGGACAACCTGTTAATCAAACCAGGGCCAAATTACATCAATTGTTCTTCACTATCAGACAGACAGCGCGTCGAGACAAACATTTCAAAAAGACACAGATAAAGAGACAACCTGCTTAATATGGATGTGTTTAAACAAGTAACAATAGTTAATTTTACATCGAATTATGTTTTTGTTCAACTGACCTCTGTATAAGGAAAAGCAGGGCGCGACGACAGCGAGGATTTGTACGGTACCATCCGCTATTGTACGCAGCCGCCGCTACATCAGCGTTCTATAGATATAAGAACATAGAGATATATATTTCATTTTTTGTTGTTGGGGGAGAAAGAAAACCAGTCAATTTTTATGGGGCATTTGGCAAATGAGTAGACGCTCATATTGTAACACCGGAGGAGTTACATTGTAAATCGCATTAGGGTAAAGCTTCTGACACGGGCAGGATAACGTGTGCAGGATCCACTAGTGTTTCATAAAAAGCTATATAAATTACATACAATATTATCAATCTAAAAGCATTTACGGTTGTGCAAAGGCCCTCTTCTCGCATGGAGAAGATAGTTATAGCTATAATCACCGCGCATGATCAACGGGTATTGGCGACTTTCAATGACATGGAAAGAGTCACATTAGTGCTTACGAGGTTTCAAACCTACACCCTCACGCTTGAAGAACGGTCGCCAGCAAAAGTAAAAAATGAGAGTTACATATGCAGCCATGCCGCAGCCAACTAACTGGCTATAGCAATCAACTATGCTATTTACCGGAAACATAGGAAGGCGAAGCTGAAGTGGGCCCATGGGTTGATAGTATTTAACAGAGACTTAACTAGTTGTGATGTCTACACTGTTTAAAAATAATCACCTGTTGGTATGTTTAGCAAGTTTTAAACGAAACATTTTATATTTGACGTGGATTAACATAAATAACAATGTCAAACGTGATTCTTCTAATCTCCAATTACCGACGTAAACGTCGCAGGATTCAACGGATTCAAAGATAATCTCATACTCGTAAAATATAGTTGTGAACTGGTGAAAGAAACTATCTTGCGTTCTCATCTCCTCTACCTTAAGATAGTTTATAGCCGTAAAGTTATTGTATGTAATTTTTACTTCAAAATACACATTTCAAAGCATCTATTTCGGTCATTATATTGTTAAAAAATAAATGGAGCGAAGACAGTCCGAAATTCTGTTTCATAAATAAAATAAAATGACAACTAACCGCATGGAAAATGTCGTCCGCGTACCAACACAGCATTCCGATTTGAATTAGAGCTGAACCCAAAAACAGTTTGTTACTGATCGCCATGAACGGTTCTAGGAGCTGGAATTACATTAATATAGTAATATTTAACATGACTACATTAAATACTCAATGTTTCTGTTCATGGTCTTCTTGATACTCAAATTATGTCATACAAATCGACACTCGAGAATCGAGTTCGAAACCTCGATCGGTAGTCAAGCTTGACACAAAGTTAAAACAATGAAGTACCTACATGTATTATTTTTCTGCCGCAGCAGTGATTGATCGGCCCCTCTGTTCAATTCCGTACGGTGTATTCTTTGGAAAACGTGCAAATAATTCAGCACGGTTCGTATATTTCCTGGTAAAATCTGATTCAAATAAATGCGTGCAACACTTACCACAATAACGAACACTACACAGCAGATATTGACGGAGCTCAACATAATGTTCACGAAGTTCGACAAGGAGAAAGCGTTTTCTAAATCGTTGCAGTATCTGGAATTTGAAAAAAAAATGCACAATACCGTCTTTGAAGACTTTTTGAAATATTCTCTTTTTATTATCAATCACGTTCAAAAATGGAATAAGTCTTCAAACTTACGCAAGTATAACCATGTTGTTATGCCAAAAAATCTTTAAAAAACTATTAGAATTTAATGTTGGTAACAGATTTTTAAGCGTTTAACACACTTTAAAAATAGCTCATAACTCATTTTCTTGTTCTTTTTAACAGACTCTACAGTCTGTTCAGTCAAGGGGGTACCTACATACCTAACTATTTTGTTTACCAAATATTTTTTTTATGAACGAATTTAATTTACTAAGGAACATATCAATTATGTCATAGTTACAAGGATCTGTCTAACTAAACACATAATTTTCTTAATTCAGTTCTGATTACACACATACATACAGGTATATAATAATTAGTGCTTAAGTAGCACACCATAAATGTAAAATAAATAGGTAGAATTACTTACGTGATAAGTCTCTGGTGTAATTTAATGTTCGCGAGTATCTCGTCATAGTGCTCATTATCAATTGTACCCACAGCTTCCAGTCGTCGCTTCAGGAGCCGTAACAGTATACTTATATGACTGGCCATAGCTGAGAATAAGAGGTCTGTACTGACCATAATCCATACGCAAGTCTGACCTACAAAATAAGCCTTGTTATTTTATTGCAAGTCAACTTCACTACTATTACACACTAACCTAGAAAATTTTCTAAATATGTTTGTCATTATTATCCACATTCATTACTACCGTTTTGCCACAAACTTTAAAAGTAGATCGTAAATCACATCGAATAAAAAAGAAATAAAATGTCTAAATGTATTCAAATTCGGTATATAATATTTTAGAATGATCATGTGGGTAGCTTTAAATTTAGAATTTTGCGATGTTAATTTTTGTTGTTTGGCAAAGTAAAACCTTTTTTCAATAAGCCGGTAAAGCAGGCCTAGCAGACGGATGACCTGATGGTAAGCAATCAGCCCATGGACACCTGGAACACCAGAGACGTTCCAAGTGCATTACCGGCTTTTTGGGGATTAGGATTGTTGAGGATTTAGGGATTGGGGTAATTGGGCCTTCGGTATCCTCACTCATACGACGAAACACAACGAAAGCGTTGTTTCACGTCGGTATTCTGTGAGGCCGTAGTATCACTTCGGTCGAGTCGGCCCATTGGTGCCGAAGCATGGCTCTCCCACACATAAATGACACACGTCTTATTAGTGTTTTGTAAAAATTATATTAGATATATATTTGTGCAGTTAAGTATACCAACGGCAAGTGCAAATTAATTAATCATATAATATTTACACAAATATTGGATTTGAGCACCATCTTTAACAATAACAAAAAACAACGTTGTGTACTTAACCTCAATCCCAAAATGGCGCCTAACATAATATTCGTGCCAAATTATTCCCATTCGAAGGCTCGAACTAAGTAGAGCATATCATGACTCAAGTGTATTAACACACGGAATACAAAACCACCTTTTATCGCTGTCAGCTAAACGATATTTGTTTTTAGTTCAGCATGCGATCGCGTTTACACCTTCGTTTTAGGAGCCCAGAGAGTAGAATCAAATGTTCTAAACTGGATTAATTGCTACTTTACCAAAGAGATGTAGCTCTCAATTTGATAATAGTCTTCGAGTTGATTCTATATCATCAGGACTTTCACTCTCTCTATGTCAATAAAAGAAGCATTTTGTCCGAAGAAATGTACGGGCATTAAATTTGGGCGCTCTTTTTTGCTCTACCAGCGAGATGGCTTAGTAATAGACACGATTAAGTTATTAAAAGCTATTATAGTGGTAGAGGTCACCATTTTGAAAGAAGCGATCTTTTTAAAGCACACGCCATGGAATGTTTTGATTGGGAATGAAAAAAACAGCTTGCATTAACTGCACTAGGAATGAAGATGCTTATTGTTGTGTTCCAGATGTGATTTTTTATCATTTTATTTTTTGAAGATAATTGTGTTATGATGTATGGAATAGTATATCTTGCAATGCGGTTTTCCACGGAGATATATATACAAGTTAGCAATTAACATGTGAAGACAGTCAACGAACTGTGATAGCGGTATTTGCATTCAGTTATCACTCGCGGAAGTAGGTTATTCAATACTGAGATGAGACTAAAAATAGATTGATCATTTATGTATTCAGAAGCTAATCTTACCCGCGAATATTTCAAAGAGATAAACCGCGACATGCGCAACCGTTTGGTGTTTATCAAACGGGTACCAGGACTGCCAGACGTATCCAATCTTA